AATCTTGTCAATCTTCTCCCAGTTCAACACGATGTATGTTTATTTGATTGTTTAGCTTCGCGAACATAGTTTATGTTGATGCCATCTTCTAAACAGTGCTTTTATTCTACACGAATGCTATGCTATTCCTTTCAGTCATCTGTAATAGAGAAAAGAAGCACCCCGCCATATCCAGAAGAACGAGTTGGACAGAAGCTAATTGTCAAAGTGATGAGGGTAAGAACCTCGAGAATTTTGTTCCCAGTAGTATTCCTAAGCAGGCTGGCTCATGAAACTTACCTGGCTTAATTGAATCCAAGCTTCAGAAGTAATTAAATAATGGGAGAAGCTTGGTACTTAATGGTGCTGGTTAATAGGTAAAACAAAGTAATGTTACTCTTGGCATGAGAACATAAGCAAATGACTTTTTGAGTGGTTTAAACTGTTTTTGAGATTGTTTACAAGTTGCGCGATTGAAATATCGAAGTTGGTGAACCAATATGTTGTTTACGTATTATTTATTGTGTTTACTGTAATGGTAACATTTTAGCTATCTGTGGATCCATTCTTTGAGCCTCTCTTTGGTTCGATAGCAATTTATGATGCAAAAGCTCGCCGAAAAGTAACTGAAAATTTCTACTTTGATGTAAATCCGGAGGAAATACGACGGATGGTCGATAAAAGCCATTCGTTTGCTGAAGCTACCGAGAGGTAGAGGTTTTCTATTTCCTTTCCCTGAATTGAGATAAATGCCTTACTTTAAGATGCAGCCAAGCAGCATTCAGTCTTTCTTGTCCGCTATCGGATTTGTTCATTGTTATAAAGGTAGGCTTACCTTGATCTGGTTTCCTTACTCGTTTTTGATATCAGTTCTGCTAATTTGTTGATTCTTTCCTTTTTTTCTATTCTTCTTGTGTTTCACGTTCGCTTAATTTATTCATAATAATGAAGTAAAGCGATTACTTGGCGACCAACACTGCTACTGGATGTAAATAACTGCCGAATCAATTAGTGACTTCATTAGATGAATGGCATAAGCTAGTGAGAATAATAGGGGAAATTTCAGAACATATCGATAGCCTGGGGTTCTTATGATGCTTCCAAATGTTTTGAGCACATTTCGAGCTACCAAACTTCCTATTTGATTCCGGTGATGTAATGAATTTGTA